AGCAAACAGGAAAACTAACTCTTAATGGGTTTTGTACTTATGTGCCCCCAAAGTCCCAATCCCTGTGACAATTTGTCTTAGCTATGGTCTTGTTGCTATGAAGGGATGCCATAACCAAGATAACTCTTATGAAAAAAGTGTTTAATTGGAAGCTTGATTACCATTTCAGAAGCATAGCACATTATCATTATGAGGTGTGGGGAGACGTGGAAGCACGTAGGTATGTACTGGAGCAGTAGCTGACAGCTACATTCTGATCCTTATGCAGAGAGAGAGCGAGAGCGAGAGCGAGAGAGAGAATTTGGCCTATCAGGATCTTTTGAAACATTAAAGCCCACCCTCAGTGACAAACGTCCTCCAACAAGGCCACACCTACTAATCCTCATTTTTTGAAATAGTGCCAGTCCCTGGTGACAAAGCATTCAAATATATGCACTTAAGGGGGCCACACTTATTCAAGCCACCACATGGTTGGTTTTAGGTTATCAGTGCTGAACCTGACTGCTTTCTAGCTCTAATACAGAAACTTTAACTTTCCTGTCTCTTTAATTTTCCTATCTTTTCTCAGGGTCTCCTCCTACTTCAAGCTAGAATGTAAGTTTGTAATTGACTGGAGTCAACGTTTGCCTCTTTGATTCTAGTCAGTTGTCCTAGTGTTATTTTATTTTCTATTTTAAGATTATTTATCTAGAACCATAAGTACCCGAACAAAAATAGTAGTAGAAATTTAAGTCCACCGTGGCTCTTGTGTTGTAACTGGAAATATAATTCAACTCTTTAATTCTTTCCCTAAGATATTAAGATCTAGACTCCTAGACCCTTCTCCAAAAACTATCTAAAAGTAAGAATTATTCTTCTATGAGTTGTTGTTGAATCAATTATTTCAATTTTCTCCTCTGCATGCAACTGCATTACTAAAGTATAGTTCACCTGAAATCTATTTCAACAAATCTATATATTGAAACAATCTTTATTGTTTAAATCAGTAAGTTATTTTACTCCAGTTGTAATTATTAATATTAATGCCCAAACAACATATTATTACAATGTCATAAAATTATTTTTAATTCATAAATTCATTATAGGCTTCTGAATTAATATATCAATAATATATACTAAATATACTGAAGTATATTTCACTTGAAATCTATTCTAGTAAATCTATATATTGGTTCTGAAAACTATTTTACTGTTTAAGGTATTAGGTTATTTTATTCCAGTGTTATTATTAATATTAATGCTCAACATACTACATTTCATACAATTTTAATATATTTCTGAATTAAAATATATCGATGATATAAATATATTATATCTGAATACATATATATGTATATATACATATATATATATATATATATATATATTTACATAGTGGATACAGTGAAGAATCTGTAGACCTCAATGAGAAATTAAGGTGGGTGAGGCAGAAAGATAATGTAAATAATAAGAATAACTGATGATAGTTGGTTTAGTAACACATCAGTTTTGACAGGCTGGTAGCATTAGATCTGAATTGTAGGTTTTCAGGGTTCAACTGTGAGCCTGATTGAGAAGAGCCTACGAGGAACAGGACCTCTGAAATCAGATACAGGATGGCTGCAAATGAAAGACTCAGTAAAGTGACAAAGAGAAATTAGAGTTGGACATATAATCCATGTAGAAGAAGATGGGATGAAGGCTTGGGACAGTCAGGAATTCTTTACCTGTGGTTATCTTCACATTTATGCTAAACAGTGAAGTGACAAGCCAGTGTGGCCAGGGAGGTGGCTACCACCCACACAGTGTTGGCTGTTTGCCTTTCCCTTTATGGAATATACACACCTGAGTCTTCCATCCTTTGTCACTCCAATTGTTCACTTTGTTCTCAGGTCTGTTCTTTCTGATGTGTTTGCTTTTTTTTTTGGCTAAAAATTGATTTTATTTTTAGTGTGTGTGTGTGTGTGTGTGTGTGTGTGTGTGTGTGTGTGTGTGTATTTGGCAGCTGTACATTCAGATGAAAGTGAAAAGAGCGGTGAACTGTGCTTAGTGAATGCTGAAATAAAAACTCTGTTCCAAGTTCTCTGCAGGGAGATGAGCAGGGCCTCTTCTAAGGTGTTAGTATGCCTATGTGCTCCCATGTTCCCAACATACTTGATGTGTTCATTAGGTGTTAGCTTCTCTTTTTAGGAGCAGTCCGAAGTGCCTCATGTTTGGCATTGGAGAATAGTTGCTTCTAAATAACAACATGGCGCAGAGTCATCATGCCTCCGCATTTGCCAAATTCTGCTTCCTAAAGTGCAGTCACTGGGAGAGGGTTGAAAGGCAAGTTTTAGACAATTCAGAGTAACTTAGAGTGGAGCCAGCCTAATCTCTGCTGGACTAAAGCTGCTTAAGACACTGTTCCATCCCAAGTGACTTTGAAACCGTCAATGTCTAGGGAACTACTGAAACGCTGGATACCATCTCATTTAGAAATTATCATACAATGGTGATCTAGTTACTTCAAACATGGTAATTATTTATGTATTTTACATTGAATAAATACATTTCAAGCAACTTCTTTATAACTCAATTTAAAAAAGGTTAATTTTCAGAAAAATATGTTGAAGAATACTTGCTTGTTTCTGCCATTCAGCTGATAGTGTAGTAGGAAAACACACACACACACACACACACACACACACACACACACATATATATATATATCAAAAAGAGGACTAATATAAATATAATTAGATTAAAATACATTTTGAGATTAAAAACATAAAATATATGTATATATGACATTTATTACCATCCACTGTTTTTCAGTTACTGATCATGCTAGGAAATATGACACTTCTCTAGGTGGCAACAGTCTTTAACAGGATGAAAATCCATCCACAGTGAAACTTCAGACTTTTGGTTTCATCTCAAACCTGTTCATCCCCACTCCAAGGGCAAAGGTTGTGCCATTTGCTACACCTAGTTAATTGTCTCCTTCACCTGCATCTCAAGCAAGTAAAACTAATCATTTAGCTTTACCAAGATTCCTATTTGCTGAGTTAAACATGTCTGAGTTGTCTTCTAAACACTTTGAAAAGCCCCCCTGTTACTCAATCACTCTTACCTGAGCACTGGAGTTACTCCATATTGTCGTCCATCCTTCCCTTCTTTTTCATTTTCCTCTCCTTTGTCCTAAATGTTACAGCCAACCTTCTTCCACTAACCCTCCCCGCTTCCATCTTTTTGACCTTGTGGTTTTGCTCTTGTTATAACTTCTCTAAGACCTTTTCTTCGACTTGTAAAACATTCTCTACACTCTGGGAGAAGGATTGTTGGAATTCATGCTCTTTTTCTTCTTTTTAAAATGCCATGCTATATATGACATGCTTCGATGTCTGTTTTGAAGAGTGATATCTTGTTCATGGGTACTTGATGCTCTTTGAATTACTTTGGAAAGGAGGTGGAGAGCTTACTGCCTGGTATTTGATTACTTGAGAATTCCTTACTACCCACCAGACTGTAAGCTCCTGGCTGATTAATTAGAGAACAATACACCAAAATGATCAAAGTCACAAAATAGCCTGTTCCTACTCTAATGAATTACTTCTCTATTAACGAAACCAAAGGTTTGAAACAAAGAATTGCCAAATATTTGCTGAATTGAACCAATTATTTCCAGAAGGCTTTTCTTAAGTAGATGATACTATACATTATAATTTGATGTTAATTGAGAGTAACTGCGTATTTATGCATATTTTATGACCTCTTTGTTCTTCTCAATTCATTTTAGCAGAAATTGCATACTTTTCTGTATCTGTTGATACTGAAGTTTGATACCACTGCTTGGCTTTAATAGCTGTTGGGAACTGAGTTATAGTAAAGTATTCTAAAGTTTTCTTAATAAGCATAGTGGTGGATTATAAAAAAGAAAAAAAGTCACAAAAGTCTGGTTGATTAAGAAGTGTAAAAGTAAGAAAAGTAGTAATGGTTGTAGCAGCAACCGAGAAAGAATAGGGTTAGAAGACCCTAGGTTCTCTTGTATTCTTTTCTCCCTAACTTCTCTAGTCTTTCTGGCAGCACGTGAGCAGTGAAAGACCAATCTGGTCTCCAAAGGCTTGTTTTGTGTTTCTTTATTCTGGACCATCATAGTAGCCAAGCAATAAAAGTGTCATTTTAAGAAGGAAATCCTCTTAACCTTGAGCGTTGAACTAGGTGTGAGATGTTCTGTTTGATTCCTTCTGAGATCTATTTGTACATTTATATTTTCAAAAAAAAAATGTTTTATATACTAGCATCTGACTCAGATCTTCTTTCAAAAATATCTACAAATATCATCTGTCATTTTTATGAGAAACAAAAATATTGATCCCAGTTTTTCAAGAACAAAATGAATAACTCAGCATACTTCAACATGCTGGGCATTCTTTAACTGATCTGAGACACGGGTTGCTTTAGGCTTTGTTGTCTCTAGCCAAAAGCAGATTTCAATGTAGGCAACTGTGCCACTAATTATATATATATATATATATATATATATATATATATATATATAATGTATATGTGTATGTACATTTATATGTAGATATATATATGAGTATAAAATATTGTATTACACATTGCTATTTTGCAATGTGTCTCAAACAATGACAGAAAAGGTTACTATGCATAATTATAAACTACTATCAGTTGGCAAGGAAGGGTTAAAGCTTTAAATGCAAAAATCTGCAATAACACTGAGCTTGCTTTGAGCCTCTGCTCTCTCAAATCCTATCGCTAAGGGAGATAAAATAATGAACAATACTTGAGTAAACTGCTGGCAAAACTCTTATTGTTTGTACCACTCTTGGAAAAAGGCTCTTGGGACTAGCAGTGGGGTCCTTGCTATTGATTGGCTGGTTAAATAGGGGACTATTAGCTTCAGACAGGCTAGATTGATTACACAGCAGCAGCAGGAGCTAAGACTTAGAGCTGAGTGAGCATCAGGGGGAGAGAGAGAGAGAGAGAGAGAGAGAGAGAGAGAGAGAGAGAGAGAGAGAATCACTCTGTGGCTGCTGGTACCGGATAATCCTGCTTCCCAGCTGCCTCAGTCAACAACTTACTGAGCTGCTTTTTCTTTTACAAAAGGATGTCAGCTCTGAGAGCCAGCGAGAAATAACAGACTTCACCTTGGAACAGCTCAACACACTCGTGCAGCATTAAAGCAGATTTGAAGAGAAAACAAAAATCAAGCCCTAACCCAGCCCCGCTTCTATCTACATTGCAGACAGAACAGTTCCATGCTCCAGGTAAGGAAATTATTATCATTTGTTTTTCATGTGTTTCCTTTCAGACAGCCACAGTAAGATACATAGCAGCTAAGCTTGCTTTTAAAACTGAGTTTGCAGTAGAATATTAGAGTCGGGGTGCTGTAATGTGTTTAAATGAATGCATTTGCATGTTTATCCACAGGTACATTCACTTTTTAATGCAATCATCACATGATGTATTTATGTAGCACATTCTCCAATTATAGAAGATAATTAAGCCAAATCTATCCTAAAAATAGGAAGGTCATTTTAGTGCCGGTATAACAACACTTTCAAAAATATTGCTTTTTTTGTTAAATAACTTTGATAATAAAAACATATCAAGAAGTACCACTATTGCATGGACTGTGAGTTTTAATTTAATGCGGACATAGAAGCTACCCTTCAGTTATTCTTTGTGAAATCTGCCTTCTAAGTGCAGTTTTAACTTTTCAGAGTAAGCATGCTGTCTGGGTCCCAAAAATATGAATTAGACTGCCCTTTTATTATGGCTGTGGTTATGTTGTGTTTGTTATTGAAGGAGCCCTGTGCTAAGGAAGGAAATTTGAGTCCGGACATGCTTAGGCATTCTAGAGTTCACTGCTGAACTGCAGCAGTCCTATCAATTAATATTTAAAGTGTCAGGGGCGGTGTGTGCAGGCAAAGTGCCTGTGAACACATGTGGTCTTTCCAATATAAAATTCTCTTCTGGGCGCAGGGTTTTAGAAAATGATTTCTCAAGAAACTGATGGAATGGAACAGGAATAATGGCTGGAGCAATGCAGTACTGATGGAAATGACTGACCTTTGGGTGTGGGTCAAAATATTAACTGCAAAGGGAGAACATGGTCATGAAAGGGGTTTATTTCTTGCATGTCGGAAGTAAAATGATTTGTGATACTAATGTGTTAGGGTATTTACTTTTGGGTCAATGAAGAGCTAATTTATCGTGAGAGTTTCTCTGTCATTTAGAGTGCAATTCTCTGGGCTGCTCCTTTTATCAGAGAACATATTACTATGTGATAAGTGATCAAAACTTTTTAATGTGTTATTCCATTTTAAAAATAATTATGGTGGGACACCTTGCACAGCCTTGGTGCAGGGGGAGGGCCTTGGACTTGCCTTTACTGAATGTACCAGGCTCTGCTGATTCCCCATGGGAGGCCTTACCTTATGGGAGGAGGGGAAGTGGGGAGGGTTGCAGAGGTGGGGGGGTGAAGGCTGGAGGTGCTGGAGGAGGGAAGAGAGGGGGATCTGTGGTTGGTGCATAAAATGAATAAAAAATTCCTTAATAAAAAATGAAAAAATTATTACAAGTTTGCCAAGCCTCTTGGGAGTGAATTAGCTGAAGTTAAGAATATAACTTACTTTGAACTGTTATATTGTGTTTTATTTCATCTTTAAAATTACTTAAAATAAAAAATCACATATGCAAAATATAGTCCTTCATTATATTACATTGTCTTTCAATTATAATTGCAAAGGCTTGGGTAGTTATATTGGTCAGGACAATACCATAAGAGAATAACAATAATGCGAATAGAAATTACAACAAATATGGCTTGACTAAAGTTGCGTATCTGTATTGGTATGTTCTTATGGGGTATTGGTTCTCTTGTTTTGAATTGAGTAACCTGAATGGATTTTTATGTTTATTTCTTCTGATTATTGTGAGTGAGATCCAATGACCAAATTGTGAAATGAAGGCACCCTAGCACACACTTTTATTGATGCACCAGCATTATCTTTAACAGAAACTCAGCACTTGTTTTAAATCTGGTATACCCATTACTGCATTCAACATTCTCTGTTAATTGTGCTCTCTGAGGACCATGTCAAAGTTGCCAGTAGTATTATTGAATTTTATGCAAATTATTGGATTTATCTTCTGAGAAGACATAATGTAGTGTCAACTAAATTATTTATTTGTTTTAACTATATTATATATGTTTATTTAAACTTAATTTGCTTACAACACTCTACAAATCTGTTTTATAGTACAGTTTTCTTATGCTACTTCTTTATAGGCTATGTTGCATTTTTTAATAAAAGAGACTAATTCTCAGTTGCATTGTATGTTTTTATTAACTCATTATTTAAATTTCAGTATGAGTATATGTAAATTTTCATAGTATTTTTCTATAAAAAAGAACACTCTTCTTTTAAAAACTTTTTGAAATAATGTCTTAACCCTGTACCTCTCACATCTAGACAGTCTTTCAGGGCTCTCAATTTTACTTTGATTCTTTTTTTATTCCTTATAAATTTGCAGTTTCTATTAGAATATTTAATCCCCTGTATCGTTAGCAGGAAGCATTCAATGATTGGAACCAGAGAGTTTTTTTTAAATCAGCACTGCAGTTTCCTGCTATTTAATTGATATTCCCCCTGCATTCTGTATTATCTCTCTCTGCAAACAAGATCAAAGAAGACTATTGTCCTGGGAGCAAGACACCTAAGGGTCATTCCAAGTCTGAAATCTACAGTTTACTCAATCAGTTCATCTTCGGTTTCTGTTCTTTCTTTGAATTTATAAAAGAGGTCAATGGGACCTTTCATTCACCTTCTCATTAACTCCTATAGTATCAGATGTCTCTCCTGATTACTTATTTTAACCACACTGAAAGAGAAAAATTAAGAAAGCATGTCCACTTAGGTTTCTGTAGCTCTCTGAACCATTAGGGGGCTCTTTCTCCCTGTGTTATGTGCAGTGGAGTACAGCAAGGTGATACAGCATTCTTGCAGCATTTGCTCCTGTTTGAAAGGCATGAGGACTGCTTCAAGAGTTGTTCTGGTGCCACCCACAAAACAGACACTATGAAGATCTGTAAGAAATCTATTTTCAAAGGAAAATAAGCACACCCTATGCTTCTCATTCTTTGAATTTATTAATGCATATAAATATAATCTTAAATAGCTGAAATATTTAAAACATGAAGATTTACTGAAATTCAAAGGCTACCTTTTAAGGGGACACCATTATAAAGCAATCTAAAGAACTTATTTTTGCACTACTCTCAAATATCTGAGTCCAAGACAAGATCTCAGTGACTCTGCTTTTCAAGCAATTTACTCTCAAAAAGAACAAACAGAATCTCACTAAGGGAGAGGATTACTTATTTTCTAAAAAAATAATAAGTACAGGAGAAGAGAAAATAAAATGATGGAATTAGTGTCAGTCTACATGTAATAAGTACCTTTTCGAATTCTTAAGCATTTTTTGATAACTATGAACTCTTATAGACATAAATAAGTGGTTATGTAATTGTTGATTATAGGACAAATGGGTCTCTTTTCTATCAATCTCAGACACAGTGCTTTTTAAGCTACAGTGTAGACTTTCTTCCAGGAAGGAAACCTACTTACTCCTTCTCTTCTGCAGCAGAGATTATTGCTTATTGCAGAAAGTGTTTAGACATCCCAGAAACATGTGAGACAAGACACAAGGAGTCTGTTTGGTGGATAGATGCAGGCTTTATATCATTTAACTGGACATTTATATATATTGAAAGGAATAATACCAGAAGCACCTAATATAGTACAAGTCATCCCAAATCTATCCAGATAGTATCAAAACAAAGCAGTAGTGGTAATATAAATTATCAGCACTGTTACGGGTGAGAATTCTGCTGCTGAAAATTCATTGTCAAGGGTATGAAGAATGTTTTAATAACTTTTCATTTCTTCTACAAGACATAGTTCGTTATATGAAAGAAGCATAAAGGAAAGCTGAGCATTGATGGCATACACCGTAATTCCCAGCACTCAGGAGGTAGAGGCAAGTGGTTCTCTGTGAGTTCGAGGCCAGCCTGGTCTACAGAGGGAGTTCTAGGACAGCCAGGACTATTACACAGAAAAAACCTTGTCTCCAGAAACAAACAGACAAAAAAAAAACAAAAACAAAAACCCAGAAGCTTAGGGTTCCAGATAACAGCTAAAATTAAATATAATCATTGAATAAGATTGCAAAATTTGCAGTTAAATATAAATGTAGGTCACCTTTTGCCCAGAACAAGATTAATGTATTTGTGTTTTCTAACTAATAGTGAATAAGTGAAAATACTGCTGAAATATACCATGTCTTATATCACCCAGCAGGGAAATAAACCATTTTAAAAATGTTTGTTTGTGTAAATGTGTAATTGTCGTGTGTCAGAGGGGGTAGGTTGGCGTGTGTGTGTGTGTGTGTGTGTGTGTGTGTGTGTGTGTGTGTGTGTGTGTGTGTCTGTGTGTGTGGATTTGGATACCTTTGAATGCAGTACATACACACATGGGTATGAGGTGTACCCTTCTCTGCATATCTGTGAATCCTGTGGAGTGGGTTAGCTGATGTGGTCTGTCACTCTCCACCTTGTTTAATGAGAGTACAGTCTCTCTCACTGAACCTTGACCTAGTTTAGTGGCCAGCAAGTACTAGTGATTATCTTAATTCTGACTGCCATTGCCAGATCTAGCTAAACAGGCTTGAAGAAATATACGTATTATTTAAATGGATATTAGGGATTTGAACTCAGGTTCACACCCTTGTGTAACATGTCTTTTTATCTTTCTAGTCATCCTGCTAGATTGAGAAAGCAAGGGTGTGGGTGACATTATAAAATAGAGCAATATCAGACTTCAAAAGAAAGTAAAGAGGCTCCACCTAACCATGTCCAGTGCATTGGACTGGGACACATGATACTACACGTGCAGAAATGTTTGTATATTTATCATTGCATGTTCAATGAACTAAGTGGTATGTCTTATGAAAGTATCTCTCAGTTTTGATATTTTTAAACATTTATTTATTTTTACTGTATGAATGAGTACTTTGTCTGCTTGTACCATATTAGTACAGTCTTTGTGAGTACCAGAAGTGGATGTTAGATTTTTCTAGAACTGGATTTAGAGATGTATGTGAACCACCAAGGGTGCACCGAGAATCAAACAAGTCCTCCGCATGAGCAGCTGGTGCTCTTACCCACTGGGCCATCTCTCCAGCTTGAGATTTGCTTTATGTC